GGGGGGCGATATCCGCTTTCAGCAAAACTGCTGGCTCTTACAAACCCACCTCTCCGGACTTTGTCAGCACATCAGTTGCTTGCCAATAAGCTACTCCTGCTGTGATCAGGCCGCTGAGCTTTTTTCTTATTTCCAGTTAATAACTTCCCCCCAGTTTGGCGCTGGCCATCCCACTGAGCAGTACATCCCATAATAGAGGCTGCCATTGTTGCACAGCTGTTTCTAACTTCCTTTACACAGTGAAAGGTCAGCTGAGGAGACTATTTTGGTGTAGGCCTGGTAATGACAGCCTTTTCTGTACTTTATTGAGTAATGACAGCCTTAATCCTGCTTTCGGCACAGACAGAGCTGTGCACACAAACTGGGAACTGCACATCTTCAGCGCAGAGCCGTCTTGCAAGTGAAATCAGGTGAACTGATCCAATTTTATTAGTTTCGTTTTGTCTCCGTCTGCCTCGAGCCAATCCAGCACTTTCCTGGGCAAAGTAGCAAGCGGTAGCCCGATCTGCACGACTCCAGGTTTCAGATTCTCTGCACTCTACATTTTTTGTAACCGAAATGGGATGAGGAATCTGACATTTGGCAACAGACTTGGGCGTCAGAGAAAAAGCAATAAGGGTTTAGAAACAGCTCAACTGCCACATCAATACAGGCTTTGAGATTTCTATTTCGGCCATTACTGACAGGACATATTGTTTGCAGAATTCGCCCCCAAATGTTTACCCAGCAAACAATTCTGCTCTGTGCCCCCTGGGAATGGGGGTACAAGCCCTGCCAGTCGACCTCACGTAATTGTGAATTTGATCTTTTTATTAATTTTCTACATTAATCCATCCCCATTTGACGTGATGGGTCCTGCTCTTAGCTTCTCTGCAAGTCAAAAAGGCACTACATAAGCTGTCTGAGCCCCATTAATCTGGTCTTTGGCCTGGCTGATACCCTGGTTCACCAGGCTTAAACAAGCCATCCCATGGCCTTCATTTTGGATCATCTTGCTGTTTACCGAGATATAACACTATATATAGATATAACACTAATCTGCATCATTACATATATATTAGAAGTGGAGAAAACACCAGGCTTGTCTAAACATCCATCTTGCACAGCTGTCCAACTGCAAAAGGCTTGGGTTTTATTCCACCGATATAGCTTCTTTCACACATTCCTCAGGCATTCCATTTTGTTTTTCCTATGGTTGTATTAAATGCTATTAAATGTCCTAATTTCTTATTTGTGTCATAATTATAAAGAAAAACACTTCTGCCTTGTGGTGATGCACACAGCCAAGATTCCACCCACAATGCACTGCTTCTCTGGGCAGCTCTTGCCAGGCACGCTGTACAAGGTGATTGGTTAGACAGGATCACAGTTCGAAAATCAGAAAATACAGGGAAATAGAATGTGTTCAAGTCAGCTACACCACAAAAAGTTGCAATATCTGGCAGGTGTTCTTCCAATCAACTGAAGCAGTTTTATCAAATTAGTTGAAAACAGCAGATGAGGACTAACTGGTTACATTTTGCCACTTTCCCACGTACAGCTTGTCCACAGTAAAAAAAACAAAGACCTACCGCTGGATCTTTTTTACTGCTTTTCTGGTTGGGTGACAAATGACTGTTTTATGACTCACTGTTCTGTAACGGAGACGGATTCCCACACAACACCCCCATATGACACTGTGATGCACCCCTCGGTGCCAAACAACACTTTATTACTTTAACTTACTTTATTTCCCTGTTTCCAAACAGGGAAAAACAGGG